GCAGGGGAGGGGGGTCGTATTTGGTCTGAAAAAAATTTTTTTGGTAGTTGATTTCTCTTGTTTCACGGACGCTATAAAGGGGGGGGGGTCGTATTTGGCCGTTGTTGAGAGAGGAACTGCGAAAGAACTATTCAACTACTTTTGTTGTAATAAGTGCTGTTTCACGCCGGAGTTCGCGTTTCGAATGTTATCACAAGAATGCTGAGTTATGGGCAAAAGAGGGTGAAAGGGTAAAAGGTAAGCTGAGAGGGTAAAAGCGGCCCTGGTGGCGTAACGGATAGCGCACTCGCCCGGAAAGCGTGAGGTGCGGGTTCGACTCCCGCCTGGGGTTCGACTTTTGCTTATAACTCAGCTTCTAGCAAAACTTCTAGCATATACAACTACTATTTCCGAGAGTTGAAAATGACAAAATGACACTTAAATCCTGATGACCTCCCCCCCCCCGCTCGACGGAAAATTCTTGGCTGAAAACTGGACTTTTTTTTGGTAAAAAATGGAAAAGGGAATCTAGGAAAGTGGTAGGTAGCATGGGGAGGGGGGGGGGTCGTCGTATTTGAGGATAGAATTAGGGGGGTCGTATTTTTCAGGAAATGATCACAACGCGATGGCGTGCCCTGCCCACAACAAGCGTCAAGTCAAAATTCCCAGACAAACATCTATCCGAGGTCGAACTGCGTCATGACAAATTTCCAGGATTTCGAGATTTTTACCAAAACATCAAAAAGTGGGCAGTAAACGGAGGAATAGGGCTGAAACGTTGTACTGGTTTATGAGGAGTCGAGATTCGGCTGAAGTCCCTTACCCGCTAGCACTACGTGAACCAGTTTCATAGAGAATCTTTCTCTCCGGGATCCACTCTGTCGCAGGACCAGGAGTTTGCCGCGCTGTGCTACCGAGTATGAGTCTCGTAGTGCTTGCTTAGTGGCGAAATCAATAATGAACAGAAGCAGAGCTCTCAAAAAGAAGTGTGAAAAAGGCCTGGCGGACGAAGGGAGCTAACTAATCACTATCACGCATATTTACATATTTATTGTAGGCTTAGAATATTGTAGAAATGTTTTCAGGCGCATCATCAGCAACAAATGATGATGGGAGTGGGTGGAGCTGGAGGTGCGATGAGGCGTGCTCAAGCAATACCACATGGTTTTATGGATGCAAAAGCATGCAAAACCCATAAAGCGATGATGCAACAACGAGGTTTGCTACGTTCATCCTTTGTTCTGAGACGTTCTACAAAAATCCAGTCGTTTTTCCTTCTAAAACTTTTTCTTATGGATGTGCTTACCTGAGACTTTCAGAAGTTGTTGACGCTTATACTTGAGGAGATTTCTTTTGTGATAAAAATATGAAAATAGCTCAGTTTGAGTTATCTAACTTGAAGACACATGCCTTCCGCGGTGATCGTGGAGGCGGAGACAGTCAACCACTATGTCATCCGTAGTGCGCCTGTTGACTTCTTCATGAAGGGAATGGGCGTGTCATTGAGGAAGACACAGTGTGTGACTGTTTCCGCCCATACGATCACCGTGAAACTGCCTTGTTAAGGACAATTTAGGTGGACGCCACTCAATCTTTTGGCACACTGTCGTTAGGCGGGATCAGCACAAAGGCAAGCGGCCGGCGTTTTATTGATGTTCCTGACCGTCCTTGGATATTGTAGCTACGTGTCGACAAGGTAGAGGATAACTATTCGGCAGCTCAAGTGGCGACAGGATGGGGCCACCCTTTGCGAAAGGGAGTACCGCCCCGCGCACGGAACCTGTCCAGCAAAGGGTTTTTTAAGGGCATTTTCGCGGGTTTTTTTTTTTCTGGTTTTTTCTTCATTACTGGACCAGCGTATTATATGAGTCTGCATGGGTATGGCGACCTCATAGAGCTGCATAATAGGACAGTCGCATAAACGCTCACCTATAATAAGCCTACATTTGTGCTGCTAGGTCGGCGTCTCCGCATTCACAACGTGGCGCCTATCCTCTCGTCTTTTCTGCGGCTGCGCTGCAATATCTAAGAGGGGTGTAGCGAACAAGTGACATGAACGGGCGGGCGCTGGCCTTTAACCTGGAAGGAACAGCTCCAGTTACGTTCAGGCCATTGACTTTGTTGTAAGCGAATTAGGTTATGTATGTTTTGTTTCAGCTGCTATGATGTACCAAGGCTATCCGAATGGAGCGAGTATGTCGCAACAACAGTACTTTATGCATATGCAAAAGATGCAGCAAACACGGTATGTTAGTCTAGTGATATTGCCAATATTCTGATGATCTTCAAAAATTGATGGTACTACAGTTGGATTGTTATTGTACCGCCTGCCCGCCTGTTAATCGTCCGAAAGAATGTCGGAACTGGGCAGGGTTCACAGTTCGTGACTCTCTTGATCGGAGTCTGCGACTACTATTAGATACAGCGTATTGGAATTGCAAGTTCTAAAGATGTGTGAACGCTCGGTTTTGCGGTCGGATGGTAGGGGCAGCTTTTTGAGTGCTGGCCCAGGTCGGGGTGACGAACGCTATGCTTAGCTATGTCGGGACCTCTCTCTAAGTCTGTGTCTGTTCTGGGAGATCGTACACAGGCGCTGGTGTTATGTTCGCCTGCACTCTGACCAAGGGCACGCGCATGCGTTGTGATGATCACAACGGGGGGGGGTCCGTATTTGACCGCGAAGGAGGGGGTCGTGCTGGTCTGAGAAATTTTTTTTGATATTGATTTCTCTTGTTTCACGGACGCTATAAGGGGGAGGGGTCGTATTTGGTCGTTGTTGGAAGAGGGACTGCCAAAGATCTGCAGGGTGACAAAAAATTCTGGCAATTTCGTGTTTATACGTTTTTGAATGGCCATTATGGTCTGTTTTCTGCGTCCGATGGGTTATTTGTGTGCTCAGCGCAGCATTTCGACGGCTACTGTAATGATTCATCTATCCAATAACTTTCGATTTCTCCTTCATTTCTCCTCACAATGTCTCGAAAAAATCAAAAGGTCACAGTTGTTGAGACGCATCTTCTGGTCGGTGCTTGTTGCTTAAAGAATGTGCTCGCCACCGACGAAAAAAATTTCCGATCACAACTACCGGAATTGTTGTCTGCTCCTCAGAAAAGGTCAACAGAAGGCAACGGCTGTGAAATCCGTCGGACGCAGACTCTTTCCAGCCTCAGTCACGGTCTGAGGCGGGATCTGTGCCACCGGAAAGACCTCTCATTTCTTCACATCGCTAGAGAGTTGTTGGGAGTTGAGAGATCAATGCTGCTCACATACTCCCAACAACGCATTCTCCGCGATGTACTGAAGCCATGGGTGTCGTAGCACTTCGGTCCGGATGGACATGTGCTTCAGCAAGACTGGGAGCCAGCACATCCTGCCAAATCCACGAACTGTCGCTATTAGTGGAGAGCTTTTAGACTCATTTTGGGGGCAAGGACGTTTGGCCTACACAAGCTCGCTGTCCGAACCGCATGATTTACTCCATCGGGGGCGAAAAAATCTCAGGAATCCGATGCGGACGGTGTACCACCTGAAAGTAGCGTCGCTGCGCGTTTGGGACGAAATTACAGTAGACGAATGCGCGACCATATCGTCGAACTTTTGGGCGAACGACTATGCGTAAATGTGTTGAGGCTGAAGAACGGCATTTTTGAAGCATTGTTGGACTTTGTTGTATACGGTCATTGTTACTGATTAGAGAAGACTCCCAGACGTTTAGTTGGCTGATTTACTTTTTTCGAATGGGTATTTTTTATGCTATCGAAGTATTTCGCTGCCGGAAACTTTTTTGGTGCACGGCGCTGTATACAATATGTCTATATACCCGATAAGTTTGAAATAGATAGTTAAATCCTGACAACCCGCTCCCCCCTCCCCCGCTCGACAGCAAAATTTTTGGGGAAAAACCAGAAATTTTCTGCGGGAAAAAATGGAAAAATTTGGTGAGGAAGTCGGGAACTGCTAGGAAGTGGTAGATACCATGGGGAGGGGGCGGGGGGTATGTGAGGATGGAATTGTTGGGGACGTATTTTTCAGAAATCTGATCACACGGCGAGCCGACGGATGGCGTGCCCTGGTTCGGACTGCCTGTGTTCCGCTGAGCCTGAGCCTTGGGGGTATGTGACAAGAGAATCGTAATTCTCTGCGCTGGTGAGTGTCGTATGTGACGTCACGACCTGCAAATGACGATAGTTCCAAATAGTAGATGGCAGAACAGGCAATTCAGAACCGAAAATAGTCATGAATGTCTACGATGACGAGGTTTCCATGAAGTCCAATGCTGCAATCGACAAATTAACACAAGTTAAGAAATTGCCGCCCCTATCGCCGCGCGCCGCGGAGCGGCAAATTACGATTCTCTTGCCCGTCTTCCGAGCCATGGAGGGGAGAAAGGGTATAGAGGTGCTCAAAGTCTTCTCCGCTCTTCGTGTTGGTGCGCCAAACGCCATGAGCTGCACCTTAATTCTACTTCTGTTCTAGTCTAATTTCTATTCCAATTTAAAGTTCCATTTCTTCGCAAGTGCACCTCGTCTGCAAACTTTTTCTAAATTTGATTAACCAATGCTTGAAAGAAGTTATTTGCATCTAATTGTGTTTTTCATAAATTACCGGGTCATTTGTACGCGACGCATGCTTCGTGGTGCTCTGGGTCTTAGAGGGCATTTTCGGTAGAGGGAATGTAAATTGATGGACAACTACAGCGAAAAAGCTAACGCTCTTGCTTCTATAAAGGTTTTGTCACAACAGTCAGGGTTTTTATAAGGTAAATTCCAAATATTTTATTTTTTATTTTTCCTATGCCTATATTTCCTACTGCATGGATATTGAATTGTAGCTTCTTCAGCCGTGAAATCGCTAATCAATGCGTCTCTCACTTTTATCCGAGATGTCATCATCATATTGGGGCCGAAAATGCGGAAAGTGAAATCAGGGTCACTTTACGAGTTATCTTGTCGCGCAGTTGACGTAACAGTAGCGGCATAGATGTAAGAATGGCGTCGAGAATGCTGGCTTATAGATGATGCAGTGCGCTATCGTCGTCTGATTATGCCCATAGTCGTTCATTGTGGCAGAAGATGTTACGGGTAATGTACAAGCTTAACATACTGACACGTCCGTCTCCAGGTCAAATCCTGGATAGTCTTACTCCCAGGCCAACCAAAAACCTACCCTGGGACGGTAAGCTGGTACCGGCATCCCATATCGCGTTCAGTGAGCCACTACGATTCTCAGTGGAAGTAGAATGCCTGCATCGCAAGAAGGGATTGATCAATGACAAAGACATCTTTTATCTTCAAGCTCAGAACTCTAATGAATGTCAAAGGTAGACGCTTTGGGGTTGATAAGTTCGCCTATCGGAATGCTCTACTTGTTTCACTTACGCTATGAAATTGGCATTAGCTGGCATTAAAACGATTTGGCCATGCAATGATTGTGGGGGGCAGCATGTACAAAGCAGTGTTTCTGACCTCCATGCGAGTCTCATACCAATTAACCGATCCCGGAGAGATGGAATGTTTGTTTGGTCTGGAAGGAAAGCGATCGAACATTTGGTCCCAAGAATCTGTTCGAGGCAAGCGGTGCCGTTACAAAAGCTCCCCGTACGTTGGAGAATCCCCAGCGGGTGGTCGTGTTTGGTCGCGCCTAGGGGAGGGAGGAAGTAATTTGGCCGAGAAAAATTTTTCGATAGTTTGATTTCCCTGCTTCAGAGCGCGCTGGTCCATTGTCGCTGAAGATTCCACTGCGCGGGGGGGGGGGGGGGGAGTGTAATGCTGTGTTGGTTAACGACAGGGTCGTACTTGGCCCCAAAGAAGTTTTTCGAAGCAATTTTTTTTCTGGTTCTTGACTTTTTCTCCTGTTTGTCTGTGCGCTGTGTACCCCTCCCCCTGCTCCCACTCGAAGGTAGTTTCTGAGGTTAGAACTGGAAGATTTCCTGGAGAAGTGATGGTAAGTGGGGAAATTTGGCAAGGAAGGATGGGAGGGGGGAGGGTTTGTACCAGCATGACCTAGAAAATAGTTGGGGGTTGTACATTTTGCCTAAGAAAAATCGATCGAAATTTTTTTGCGCAAAATTGTTCTCCCGCAGTGGAGGAAGTGCCCTTGCCGTTGCATCACCTTATTCTGTAAACGATCAAACGGTGGGTTGATAGCATATGGACTCGTAGCTAGAGGAGATAATTTGGGAAAGGTGTAAAAAAGTCTCGAAAAACTTTTTTCGCAAAAATTCTCTCCCCGATGGCGGGGAGTGCCCTAGCCGTTCCACCACCTTCTTCTGTGAATGATCGGATGGTGGGTCGATAATATGCGCACGACCAGCACGTCCTTCTCGGATCTTCGCCCGCTTTTGCCCAATTCCTCCCCCATCTGCCAGTTTCTTGTTTCCTTCAAAGAGACCTTGTCAATTTATTTTCAAATTTTCAGGTTCGCTAGCGGTGTCGATCCGTCAGCATCAGCGTTCATGAGTAGTCAACGTATGATGAGCATGCGAGGAGCGCCGATGAGTGCTGCTGGACCGATGATGGAGCCAATGGCGCCCACGGGCGGCTACCCTTCTGGATATTCTCAAGGGATGCAGCCATTCCCACCTCAACAGCAATATGTTGGACAGTTCTCGATGAATTGATGAATGTCCGCGTCACCTTCGATTTCGGTGGATGCCGTCAAATGGATCGTAGGAACTGGCCAGAAATGATAGTCAACAGAAAGCTGTGTAAAAGTGTAAAGCTCGGCTAAGCGATTCCGTAACGACGTTCTTGATCTCTTCCAAAGCCCTGGCGAAACAGGGTTGCCCATAATGAATTTCTTAGCGGCTCCAGTTTGTAGGAATACCCATGGCCGCTTTGGTAACGTTTTTTCTTCATTCGGGCATCAGGGTTACATATCGGTGAGATTGTACCGTATTTCCATGAATTGTTCTTGTCGTCGGGATGATCTCGACTATTTCTTGTCATATTTCTTTTTTTTGTATTTACCCCTCATAATTCCCCGTAGTGATAATAGTAAGAGAAGTTTCTGCGTGGAAACTCTAAATATACGCACATTACTAATGTTGATAAGCAAGTTTGGAACTTGTTAGGTACATATCATACTCGTCTCGTCGTAATGAATGCTTCTGAGGCATCCGTCCGTCGAACCTCAATGCACTTTCAGATAGTTGTGAGCGCCAGAAAGCATTTCCCCCGCGGCAATGCTTTTTGATGCATATTGATCCTCCGGTGATGTTAATAGGCGATTTCCATGTTTTTATTGATTGATTCATTTCCTTTGTTTCATGGTGTTTCGTAGTAGAAAAATGGATCGTGGACGTTGGTTCTGACACGTTTGTAGCCTTATCGTCCGTCCCACATCACCCCCCGTCGCGACAAGCATTTTCGTTCATTCTTCATTCGTTTGTGTGTAAATTCATACTGTGAATAGTTTGACACCTAAGAGTTTCACTTTTATGATGATATAAATGTTTTTATTCAAGGCATTCTTCAATATCACTTTGAAAATATGCAAATAATAGCAACATGGACGAAATTTTCTCTCTGAAAAACAAGGATTTATTACAGCTGTATCAACCGAAATCGCGCGCTGGTGTCCATTTCAAACGTTTTTCCAGCTGAGAGTGGTTTCGGTAAGGGAACCGCATTTGGTATTTTTTTTTGTGGGAAGGGTGATGAGTCTCCGAAAATGGAGGGGGGGGGAGGTGAGAGGATGGTTGGGGCGGCATGTAAACCTCCCGAAGCGCGTGGTGGGTGGTGAGGGGGTGGTTAGGACATGTAAATCACAGATGGGGTGAGGGGTGGGTAGAACATACATATCCCAGGAAGCGGGGCGGTATGGGGGTTGTAGGACATGTAAATCTCAAAAAGCGGGGGTGGTGAAGGGGTGCATAGGAAATGTGTTAGTGCGGGCGGAACGAGCTGAATGTTGGGATTAACCGAACTCTAGCGGAGATTCCTCACTATTGTGGAAGAGGGGTAGACCGTGCGTGATTTACCGCAGTCTGGCCCTAACTATATTTATCAGAAGAATGCTGAATTGTGGGCAAATCGACACAAGCCGATTTCGAACCCGGCATCTTCCTTGCAGTTTTTGTCCAACAACAGCATCTTCTGATAAACCTTTCTATCGCAGCGCTGCGGCGTAAAAGAGCATTTATCAAGCAACTAACACCAATACTATTTGAACCTGGGACTGTCCAACTATAAATGACATCATATGAAAGCTTCGATCTTAGAAGAAAGTGCCATCTTTCGCTTGTCTGTGGAAAGTCACTCCTTCCCTGAATAAACTAGAAAAACGGCGCAATTTATCATCTCCATATAAGGAGTCCTTCTAGAATACTCTAACAGGTTCCAATCGGGCCATTTGTCCAAAGGGTGCGATTTCGGCTTCTGGTAGGGGCAACCCGAAAAGGATATTGAATGGACTTACAGGCCATCTTGAGAACCTGTAAATTCCTATCGGTTATCTAAGCTTCATGATAGCAATTTTGTCACTACAGCAGTGCTTACAGTCTGACCTAGGGTGAGACCTGTATTAACATATACCAAACCAAAAGAATTGGATGTGCTCAAATACCCTTCCAAGCCGGGACGGGCCTCCGGGATGCCAGCCTGAAAGTAAGTTGTCAGGCTGCTGTTAAATCACCTGCGAGTCAGCTGTCATATGAATATACTGAACAAAGGCTATGTAGCTCGACTCGCACTACCCGATTTCCCACAAATTCTGGTTGCGCCTGCCAGCTCGCACAATTGGTTAATGACAAGCTGGCGCCGCGCCAGACCTAGCCACTTTCCTAAAACGCCTCTGGGTCCGCAGCGAACAAGGCTGTATAAGCCCCCTATACCCTGGAAGTTTTTACCTCGCGATGAACAACGGTTATAGTCCTTTGTAGGGTAACTGAACAGGGTAAGTATGGAACGCTAGTTTTTTAAAAAAAAGGCTATTCCTCGAACATGAACGGTGGCAAAATGGGAGGCTTTGGGGGGGGGGGAGGGGGGTAACAGTTTCTTGGTCAAGCTTCCCAATGCGAACCCTGACCACCCACTTCTTGTAAATCTCCGGCATGTCATTACGGTTCCAAAGACGCTTGGAATGGACCGCAGCGCAGAATTCGATACTCGACTGATTTTGAAGCAGTTGAACTCCTAAAAAGCGTATCAAGCACGGCTTTACAGTATCTGATCACAGACTTATTACTTGCTAAAGAAATCGATTTTTAGACAGAGCGTGGACGAGCTATCGCGGCGGCTCTGGCTCTTTTGAAGCACCAATGAATGCGAGGAAAATGACAGAAAATCGAAAAAGAAAATAACAACGAGACCCCTGACACAAGGGGGGCTCTGATAACCGTTTTGGGTGTTATACATCTCATCATTAACGAACATGCACAATAAAAAATATAGAAAATGCCATGAAAGATACAGTAATAGAGACGGAGAAATACAGTGTGACTAGCAAAATAACAATCTGCACTAACGACACGCGGTTTTCGCGATTCTTTGGTTTCTCGTCGAACAAAATAATAGTAGTGTGGACCCTGTTGACTCGTATCTTGCATACTCGGACAGACGGATGGGGTCAGCTGACCCCGGGCGGTTACCGTTTTTGGTATTCGGCCAATGGCTTGATAATACCGTCATTGTAAGCACGCAAGATCGATTCACACACAAATGTGTATTGACCCTGAAAAAGCGACATTTTAAAGGAGTCTGGAAGTTGAGGAAGTTTTTTTTGAATCTGGTGTTATGGCCGAATGGGCCATGCATTTGAATTTCTCTGAAAATTCAGAGGCTTTACAGTAGTCCGCCTGGATCGAAGGCGAAACCTGTTTTTTACGGTGACTATTCCTTCACTATTTTTATTTTTGTTATTTACTTGGCAGCATTAGCCTGGAAAAGGCTGTGTGATGACCACGTGATCTCCAGGTACTTCTATATCAAATTCAAACCATCCATGTTGAGACCAAAGGCACAGTCCATGGTCGTAGCAGCAGAAAGACAATGTCCAGTCCTCATTCATCCCTCTCCACCTTCTTTGAGAGGAGGGTGCATCAATGAGAAAGGTGCCATTAATGGATGTCCCCGCCTAGACTGTCAACGTGGACGGTGCTTTAAGAGGGAACCAGTCCTGAACTATCCTGAAAAACTTGAGTGGATGCGGGAAGAGGAAGGCCGCTGTCAGCAGTACCTTCGCAGTAGAGGGAAAACCATCTAACCGCTTCATCAGAA